GGGTCCATACCAGCCATGGGGAAGTTGGATCAAAGGCCCAGGCAGAGCCCGTTCTCACCTTCTGGGGGGGAACAAATGGGTTTGATATCCTGTGGAGGCTGTCTTAAGACCTCATGCACTCACAGCTGGGTATGGATGGTTGTTGTGTGTGTATTGGCTGTCTTCTGAGGAAATGTCAAAAAGTGGTATGGAGAAAAAAATATCCGTATTATTTTAAGCTTTCTATGGGTTTGGAGAATGGAGTTTTAAATCAGAAGTTGGAGGGATCAGTTGCAGCTTTCTCGTTAAAAAAAATCTACACTGTTTCAGTCTCTTAGATGACAGCAGAAGCTATTAACAGCTTAGTTAATGCTGGTTAAATCTTTATTTGTCAATCACTTGCCAGTTGAAGGTCAGAATTCCTATTTGTAGATAAATACACTGGCCCTAAACTCCCTTTTCCCTATCCTTTGATTCCACCCCCCTTTCTGTCTGTCCATCCTCATCCAGGAGCAGGTGTGTGGGGGCAGGCAGAACCTGCTGCAGGGCAGGACTGATGCATGCTGCCAAGGCTGTTTGCATCAGCCCAGGTTGGGTAGGTCTTGCTGGTGCTGAGCAAGAGAACGTGGCTTGGAGCTGTGGGCACTTGTGCTGAAATGCAGTAATGGGCTCATCTTTCCTCTTTCCTGCACGAAGCGGGTCTGGGCAGGCAGCTGTGTCTGTCCCTGGTACCTCTGGAAAGTGAGTTTTTAATGCTGTCTCTAGGGGAAAGAAAAAGCTATTTCACCATTTGAAAGACCTTTTGCTGCCTTCACCTCACTCCTGTTCAGCCCCAGTGTTTCACGTTACAGTGAGTTTCCAAAGAGGCTGATGGTGGTCTGTATCCTCATCCCCTTATCCTGCATCACACTCCATCTGCCTTTTACCCTTCAAAGCCTTTCTTTCCCACCCTCCACCTACACCCTGTTTTTCTCTTGGGTGCTGGACTTCTGAGATGACTCTGATGCTGATGGTGGAGAGGCTGTTTTATTTATATGGCCTGTCTTATTCAGGGAAGCGGCCGATGCTGGGATAATCATGCCATTTCAGACAGATTGCTTGTCTTACTGGAGTGTAACAAGCACTGACAGGGCACAGGAGAGTGTCTGAGTGTGTGCACACACGTGTGAGGCAGGGAGTGCGATGGACTGAACCAAGGTGATGGTCCAAATTTGCCTACCCAGTCAGCAGGTTCAGGAGGAGCTGATTCCCAGCAAGGCACTGAAGGCAGAAGTAGGAGTGGTAAGTGCTGATTTCAAGCGCATCTCCTTCAGAGTTGTCTCTGTGGCAGAGAAAAATTCAGTTAACACCTTCCCTGTCTCCCTGCAAACCTCCTTCACCTGCCACATTTGCCTCTCCAGGTTTTCTCCATCACTAGCTGAAACCATTTAAAATGTCATCATCTCTCTGCTGGTCCTAAATTGGCCATCTGATGTGGTTTTAATGCTCCATCTCCTATGCCAAATAGAGTTTGAAACACTCTCCATTAGCTTGCAGGTCTGACAGCCTCACATCTAGGGTGAGTAATGTTACCTAATGGTTAGAGCACAGGATGTGGGGTCAGGTGCCCCCAAGTCTGACTTGCTTTTTGCCCAAGGACATGTCCCTTCCTTCCTTGTTCCTGCCTGCTCATCCATACCAGGGGGCTCACATTGTCAGTCTTTTTCCACAGTGTCATGTGTGTTTTGCTCCCACCTGGCTGAGTCTGGGCATTGTGGCTGCCGCAACTCCACTGGGCTGGGGAAGGGCTCAACCCTTCCGTGCTCCAGAAATGCCTACACAAGCAAAATTCTTTGCTGAAAGGTTTGTCCAGCAAATTAAACTGAATTGCCAGTGTCTGTCCCCGCTGTGTCTCCTTTCTCTTTCTCTGTTCATCATGGAGTCCAGAAAATCCAAGGAGCCATGGATTACACCTTTTCCAGGCACAGTTTCACCTTGGGTTACCCTGCCTGCATCCACAGCCTGCTGCCCTCTTCTTGTGCCCCTCTTGCAGCTGATGGCTCAGGGCAGATGTGCCAGGGAGTCTCCCAGCCCCCTGGTTGCCTGCTGGGGACTGGAGTGTGAGTAGGCTGTAGGGAGGGCACAAATCCCCCTGACCAGAGCAGGCAGCAGTAGTGCTGGCATTCCAGAGCAGCGCTGCTGCCGAAGGGGATGACTTTCGCTGCAGTGGTGATGGAGGGCAGAGCCACTCGAGCATGGCTGCCCTGCAGCACGCTGCTGACTTGGCCTGCCAGCGAGTCCTTCAAGCCCTGATGCTTTGTCACGCAGGCGTCCCGTTGCTCAGCGCACCCGAGCAAGCCCCACAGCTCCCCGTGTGCCGCTCTTACCCTGCATCCCTGTGGAGGTGATGGGACCCAGCAAGCTGCGGGAGTGCAGGGAGAGCTGGAAGGTGGGGGGGAAGGTGCTGCTTCTGCACTCCTCTTGCAAACTTTTGTAAACATCTTGCTAATGGGTTTGAGAGAAAACCCTCTGAAGAGTTATTGTGCCAAATTTGGAGACTAATTTCAGTCATTAAGGTGCGAAGCAAGGGATTTTAGTGCCGCTTTAAGTGCAAAATCTCAAGGCAGCTTCAAGGATTGGAGTCGCTGATGATCCCTCTTTGATTATTATTAGTGGTTCTAATCTTTCTGGTGGCAAATGAACAGAAATGACACCCTCTTGTGTCATATCTGTTGCTGATTTCTGTGAACTCTTCTTGTCAGACTGTGCAAGGGAGATTCCCATAGTGGCATCGTTCTCGGGTGGGAGGGAAAAGAGGGCTGAGGACTGTTTAATATTGCTGTTTGTTTAATTAGATATTGGCACTGCTTTCTAACTACTGGCATATAAAGCTGCAGCTCCCATCAGACTAATGGCATCTTCATCTTCTTGGAGCCTTGCTTTGTCTTCACTGTGGTGTCCAGTGCAGAGAAGTCATGGAATGGGTGTAACTGTAATCTTGGTCCTCTCAAAGGTCTTTCCCACTACCAGAGCCTCACACGGGTCTGGTAGGCTGCGCGCACCCAGTGATGGTCTGTACCTGGCATTCCTCAGTGCCAGAGCAATGCAAACAGCTGGTAAAGAAATGCCAGAAAAAGAGCATGTGTGGTCCTGGCATGGGATGTTTTACACCATTCCAAGTAATTGCAGAGCTAAGATTTTCCAGGTGGCTGATGTTTTGGGCTTCTCTCAGTGTTCTCTCAGCTGAATGCATCCAGTGTTTGGAATATAATGAACAGTCTGCCTTTGAAAATCATCCTGTTACAAACGCTTCACACTGGGCTCCCTTATGGCTGTGTTTCCTATGCTGTGCATGTCCCCTGAAAGTCACAACATGGAGCAAATATGGAATTTCCTTTAGAAGTAATCACAATTGCTGATTGCACTTGGTAATGGGGAATTAGTGGATGAGTTTTGTTAATTAATGGGGTTAGGACAAAAAAGTTTGAGAAAAAGAAGTTAAAATCATGACCTGCTTCCTTATTTGTTTGAAGAAGTTTCTCGGTTACCAGTGCTTTCAGTAAATTATCAGGGAGTTCTCTGTGTAGAGATAGCTGGAAAGTGTCAACTCAGTGAAAAAACAGATTTTTGTTTTCCTTTTTTTCTTTGAAATTAGTTCAAATTGAGTTCAGAAGGGACAAACTGAAGCTGAGTATCAGGAAATGTTTCCTGGTGTCATGGTGTAAGAGATCAGAAGAACCTTCTCACGTCTGTAATGGAAATGTTGCTTGTGTAATTTATAGAACTGGGCAAGGCATGGGAGGGCAGAGTCCTGGGGCTATCCCTGCAGGCAGCTTGGTCACCTCTGCCTCTCACAGTGACGTGATGCTACTGGTGCCAGAGCAGGTGTATAAAGGCAAAATATACTTCATGCAACAGGATTGTGAATCGAAGTGAAATACATTTACAGGGGAAACTGTCAGAGTGCCACGGAGATGTCCTGTAAGCCACTGAACTGTGAAACGTGTGTTTGCCTCCTCCTCTATCCCACAGTGTCATTCTGGATGGTATGACAGTTAAGAAAAGAATAGGCCTGATTCTCATTTACAGCGACACCCCTTTAACATGCTCTCACCATGCAGCAAGGCCTTGAAATGACTGTAGCTGTAATCGCAGTCCACTTAAAGGTCTTCCCCACTGCCAGAGCTGAGTGAAGAGGCCTTAGGATAAATAAGACTGAAGCCTGGACTGTTTAATAGTCCATTTGTACAGCTGACATGAGATGCCCCAAAGGGAGGTGCCTTGCGCGGAAGTCACGGGGCCTTTCCAGACAAAGAGAATCATTAATGTTGGCTGCGGGGATTTGCAGGGCTGATCAGGGCAGTTCGATCTTGCCGGGTAAAAGGCATGACTGTCCCTAGGGAAAAGGACTTCCACTGGGCTATCACAGCATCCACTGTCCCTCTTCCTAAGCTGCTTCAGGTGACTGCTTTGGGCCCCGTGAGGAATGCTGGGTCTGATAGGGATGGAGCTTCTCGCAGCTGCACTGCTCCTCACTCTGCTCCCTGCAGCTTCCCTTGTTGTTGCCTCCAACAGGCTGGGGGGAGGCTGTCTCCACTGCTTCACCTGTAAGCCAGCTCTCTGTCCTCAAATGACACGTGAAATCCCTTCTGCAGAGTGAGCAAAGTACAGGCTGTGGAGCATGTTTACACAGCTAATTGCCATGGATCCCCCTGCCCTTTGTGGTAAGGGGAAATCAAGAGCTGTGGGCACATGTGTGTGCACGTGATGCTTACATGTGCTTTCAGGAATTCATTGGGAACCAAGATGGGACATTGCTTCCCTATCCTGGTCACAAAATGGGGGCAATTGCTTGCCTTGCCTAATTGTTCCAATTCCTGGAATAATTGTTCTGTTTCTCCCACTCCCTTCCTCTTAGATTTTCCATCCTTTGAACTGGGCTCCTACTGTCCCGGTATAAGCTGCATGGGGGAGGCGGGCTCTCGTTTCGGGTTTGGTTCCCAGGCATTAACATTCTCCTTGCTTTTTTCTCTCTCTTGCAGGTACCTGATCAATGTCACCTTTGAAGGCAGGAATTTGTCGTTCAGTGAAGACGGATACCAGATGCATCCCAAGCTGGTGATCATACTTCTGACCAAGGAAAGGAAGTGGGAGAGGGTAAGACATGTTTGGTAATTCTCAAACTGTGTGAGGGAGGAGGATGGAGGAAGGCTCCAGGCAAATATTCCCCCCCACCTTTCTGTATTTCTTATCAAGGGCTGGCAATCTCCTCCTTGTGTCCTGGACCACTGGTTATCTCCAATACCCAGGCTGCTCTCTTTTCCATGCAGGATGCCATTACATTCTTCCATTAGCGTGCATAAAAAATTCATCAGCTTGCCTTCTGTAACTTCCGAACATCAGTTTTCCTGCCTTTCAGAGAAAAGACCTCCTCTGTACCATGGGTTTCAATGGCAGAGACAGAGAATGTTTCCCTGCATGGCTCGGGGGCAGTGAAGTTTTGTATGCTAAATGACTGTGATTGAGCTACAGCCACACTTAGTAATACATGCCAGTGTTAACTGTGCTTGATATATCTGGCCAGTGTCATTTGCAACGGGATGGTGCATTAAGTAGGATGTGTACGTGAGATCATATCAAGTTGTTCAAAGATACAAATTTGCATATTTCTGAATAATTTGCATGTAACCCAAAGCACCATTTTAGAAATGGTGTGGATTTCTGTGATAGTGCAAAGCTTTGGTTCATTTCACCTCCCACATCAACGTCAGTGGTCCATGCTCAGAACAAGCACCCCCAAAGGGTTTGAACTGAAGTAGAGGGGGTAGTTTGAGGGCTATGAAGATAAGATATAAAGAAATGATGGGGGTGAGAAGTCAGAGCAAAAGCAAGGAGAATTCAGCACAGCACTCATAGATAAGAAGCAGAGCTTGCTCTGGATGAGATCATGTGTATGGCTTAGAAAAATGCCCCTTTGCCCCACCAGGCACAAAAAGCTGCCTCTCCTTGACTGCTTGTTCTCTGCATGGACTTGCAAGTGGTCTGCATGTCCAAAGCCAGGAAGAAATTAATAGGGAAATGAGAATCAAACAGGGAGCTGTCAGAAGTACATTCAGAAGTCTGGAGGAACAACTTCTGAAGGAGGCAGAAGAGCCATTGCATTAGTGCCTGGCAGGCACTAGGGTCTCCCAGTAGTTGCAGGAATTGGGGGAGAGGGTGAAAGCCCCCAGCTTGTGCTTGGTTTCCAGGAAGACCCATCTAACTCAAGGTCTTGGCAGTGTGCCAGCCAGATGGGAGTCTATGGCCTGGGACAGTCAGCAGAGGTCTCAGTGGGACAGGAGTGCGAGGAAATGTATGGCATGGCATCAGTCTGTGTGGACAACTCTTGGACATGTTTGGAGGCAGGCTGGTGGGATATTGCACTTGCGGTGGGCAGGCAAGGCTCAGGCTGCGGAGACCTCCCGTCAGGCTCTGTCCATTGCACAACTTCACTAAAGCCGACCAGGCAAAGTCCAGGAGGATTTGTTCCTAGCTGGCACCAAATTTGTTCTCACAGAGGAAAACTCAATCACCAGAGCAGGGAAACAAGGCAGTAGCAACATGAATCCTGCTAGGGATTATTAGCAGGGATGGCTGTGGGGAATCTGTTGCTGGAATGCTTTGCAGGCTCTCTGGGGAGGCACAGCTAAATGCTGTCCTGTTTTTATCCTGCTTGTCACCCTGCTGCTCCCTCAGTGAGGACTTGGGGGCTTCCATGAGTGGTATGAGGGGTTGTTCACTCTCTGAGAGCATATCCGTGGTCCCTCAGATGAACCAGATGATTAGTGGAAGGGATGTTGGTGAGCTGGAGTGTTGGGGTTAGGCATTGAACCTGCCTGAACCTAGCTGTCTGTGGGGACTACTTGGCATCCATTAAACCAGAACAGTTCTTCTTTTCGTAAGAGCTGGGGCTGGATTGAAATGAGATGATGATGAACCATGGTATTAGTGGTATGAAAAGCCCGTAGTGCTTCCTGAACACAAATTTTTTGCCTTGAAGTGGGTGTCTTGCTCAGTGGGAAGATCAGATTATTATAATCAAACTGAGCTGTTTGAATTTTACACTGGCAGGTTCTTCCTGGAAAATGCAGAAATCTCCAACATGCTCTGATCACACATAAACACCTTTCATACCTGTAACCTCATGCTCCTCTTCTTAATTTTCTCCGTTCAGCAGAAATGCAAACATTAAAACATAAGGGTGAAACAGCTTTTTGTGGCAAAGATCATACTTTTGTTCCGTGTTTGCAGAGAAGCAAAGCAGCGTGCTGGCCTTTAACAGCAGCTCCCAGGCAATGCCACAAGACAAGCCATAAATTATTCATATATTATTAGCACATGATCCTGATACCTTTGTAAGTGCATTGCTTTGCAGTGTAAAATCATCCAAACTCTCACTATGTTTTGCCAAATTAGCAAGATGCTTTGTCCTAGCAATGTCTAGGCAATATATAGAAGAAACTGTGCAAAGCGCAGGAGAGCTTCCAAGTCAAACACTCAGGCGGCAGGAGACAAGAGATGAAAGGCTGCTTGGGAAACGCGGATTCAGTCCACTTGTGTGCATTCACTACAGCTCAGTCTTTCATTACATCGCTGCACACTTTTATCCATAATCAGACGCTATGCCTGGAAGGAACTTCAAGAGGTCATTTAGTCCCTCCCTGTGCCCAAGGGAGGGATCAACTAGACTGAAATTATTCCTGGCAGATGTTTGTCTCACCTGTTCTCAGAGTCCTACAATGCAATCCATGGTTTCTTTCTCCTTACCCTGTAAAGTTATTCTACTGTCTAACCCAGATTTCCCTGATTGCAGTTTAAGCCCATTACTACTTGGCATCTCCCTAGTGGACACAGAGAATTGTTTATTTTCTTCCTCTTTTTATCTTCCCTATGTATGTTTGAAGGCTTCTATCATGTTGTCTCCCAGTCGTCTCTGCTGTAGATTAAATAAGAATTTGTTCAGTCTCTCCTGGTAGGTCATGTTTTCTCATCTTCTGATCGTTTTTATTAGTCATCTCTGGATTTAGTGACACAGCTTGCTGCTTTGTACAGCTTGGTGCAGTTGATTCTTGAAGGATGGCAAATAGATCGTGAGGAGTACGTCTCATGGGGTGTATATATATAAAGAAATGTTTTAAAACAGGTGCACAGCCTTCCATTTTTTGGGCAGCAGAGATGCAGACAGTGACTGAACTATTCCAGGTCTGTGAAATTTCTTGAGATTTTGATTTTTCATCCCAATTTGGGAAGAAATATCTTCAAAACCTCACCAGTTACTTCAGAACAGGAATTCATTTTCCAGAAGAGCTACAGCTGTCCCCAGACTTTGATGATGACAAATCTCCTCCTGCATCCTTCAGACAGACTGAAACCTTGTAGGGCTGGCAATCATGAAAGAACACGTAGAGCAACCACTTTCTGGAAAGGGGCAGCAATCGGAGCTCTTCTGCTCTTGTAGCCATGAGTAACGATTCCTCTTGTGATAAGCAAACGTGCTGCATTTCGCTCACTTCTCTCTTCTCTGCTCCTTAGGGGCTGAAGGCTGCATGCCTTCCCTCACTACCTTTTAATTAGCTAGTTAGTAGAGCTCTTTGATTCACTGGCCAGACAGCCTAGGTGTGTTCTGCGTGCCTAGATGCCCCTGTGGTATTTATCACAGAGGGTCAGGTATGCAAAGAGAGGTGGTGATGGAGATCCACTCTTATGTCTCATGAAAGGCCCTGCCTCAACACAGCGATGAGCTGGAGCCAGAGGTCTCAGCAGGTGAGCCGGACGATCAGTACTACACCAGGTTTTGTATCTGGGGGTTGTGATGTTTTGTGTGGGAAGAGTTTTCACCCATGCCTTTTCTTCACTTTACTGATTGCCTTTCTCCTCCGCTTTCCTATAATACCACGTATGATGAGGACTCATTTCTGGGTTCATGATCCCTTTGTGAGAGTTGGCAGGTGCTCCAGCTCTTGCTTACATCCACCTTCCCTGATGAAGCACTTTCTCCCAGCAAACCTGGGGATGACACAAATGTTACTATCTCTGAGGCTCACTTTGGGATTCTTTCTCTTTCATTTCTTTGATTTCGAATGAGTTTTGCATCACTTCTGTCACTAGGTTGTTCTCAGCCTCTCCCTTTTGCTTCTCTGCCTCTTTCCTTAGGTATCTCACTGGGAATTCAGAGCACCTTTCCATGTGGCTCACAACAGCAACCTCTTGTGCCACCCCACAGAGCCCTTTGATTGCAAGCTCCCTGGGGCATCTCTTACCACACATGCTCCTGTAACTCCTGCTCCTGGCTGGAGCCAGGACAAAGCCCCAGGTGATGGATGTGGTCAGGGTGCCACTACAAGCCATCTTAGAGGGGGACAGACGGGAAACTTATGCTGAAAGATTCATTCTCCCTGCTGCATGTGCTAATCCTCTGCCCCTATCAACCCTCACCCCCGCAGCAGATAAAATGTTTGCCTGCTGCTGCTGCTGTAATTATGAGTGTTTGACTTTTGAACTCCTGAACATCAATTAGCAGCATCTGTTCTGATTCCTCTAGCCATCGTGTGGCCATGATTACAAATTCATGGACAGGCTGCTCTTGGCCTGTTCCCCTACACCATTGCACACATTAGTGCTCCCTGGGAATGGGGCCATTTGCTGTGACATGCTGCCAGCTGCCTCAGTGACTGTAGGCTTCCAATACTCCCTAACGCTGAGATAGGGTGAAAAATGGTCCCACTACTCTCTGGTGCATGGGCTTTCCAGAGATGTGTTCAGCCTTGATCATAGTCCACATCAGGTGAGTTAGTGAACTTGTGTGACGCTGTCCCCTGCTTGGGACAGAGCAGCGTCATGCCCATCTGTGCTTGGGAAAAGTTCCCTTAGGATGTGGGAAGGAGCTACAGAAAGGAAAGAAGGATTTACAAAAGAATAATGGAAAAAATAGGTTTTGTTTTATGCAAAAAATGAAGAGGAACAAGGTAAGTCTTTGGATGTCTAAATCATTGTTGAAAATGGACATTATGGTCAGTTGCTTTTCATGTCCACAGTGAGCAGAAAGAAGAAGAAAACGTGATAAATTATCAAGCAGAAAGATTTTGGTTAGGTATGTAGGGAGCTGTCTAATTGTTAGC